ACCAAACTCCAATTATCTGTTATCTCTGGTTGAAAAGTGTGATCTCGCTTCAACGATCAGTTCTTTTGGAGTATGCTTTATAGATACGACAATAGGTGAATTTTACCTTGGCCAGTTTGTCGATGATCGCTGCAATTCGAGACTATTGACTCTGCTGGCTCATCATCCACCGGTTCACGTACGAGATCATGATTTAAATATTACACACATTTACTGATAAACATGTACAAATGCTGACTTCTGCTTTGTCTCTTAGGTAATATATGAACGTGGTACCTTATCGCAAAAAACTCTGCAGCTTATAAACAACACTCTACCAGCGGCGCTAAAAGAACCGCTACAACGCGAGTCACAATTCTGGTCTGCTACAACTGTACTGAAAGTCAGTAACAGATAATGCTTAGTATATTAAAATTTAAAATTGTGTAGATAAATTATTAGTATGTATTAAATATCCCTTGTTTGTCTTTTTAAAGAAACTTCACGAAGGCAGTTATTTCAAAAAGGAAAACGACTCGAGCTTCGCATGGCCTGAGGGTCTGAAACCCTACTTAAACGAAGGTAATTGATCATAATTTAAAAAAATATTTTTCTTTGTTTTTACATATTTATGATAATGCGTGTGTAATATGAATTGTTTTTTGTTGTGCATCAGGAGACAGTTTGGGTTTAACGCCGGCAGATAATAAAGAATTGGCAATACACGCACTAGGAGGATGCGTGTATTTGCTGAAGGAGTTCCTACTCGAACAGCAATTATTAGCGCAAGGCTGTTTCAATACTTACACTCCGCCGGACTTTTCGGCCGCGAGCAGCCGCGCAGGTCTCAATTACGCAAACACCATGGTAATAGATGCTGTTACAATAAAAAATCTAAGGCTCTTCGGAGATGGTTCACTCATTGGTATATTAGACCGTTGCTGTACTGCGTTCGGTAAAAGGTAAATCTCGAATGTGCTATTTTTTATTCCCTTTTATGTATATTCTATAAGCTAAATAAGCTAATATTCTAAAAAATATGTATTTTTAGATTGCTGCGCGAATGGATCTGCAGGCCATCTTGCCGCAAAAACGTTATTATAGAGCGCCAGGAAGCTGTACAGGAATTAGTGGATCGAATGGACGTGATGCAGTCGGCTCGCGCAATTTTGTCAACTCTACCAGATCTTGAAAGACTTTTGAGCAAGTAAGTTGAAAAAAATTACTGGCGATGATAAATTCCGCTTCAGCAAATCTAAAATATTAATGTAAACATATATTTTTCTTATTTTAACAGAATACACGCTCAGGGAAATGCTGCTAGAATGAAAGATCATCCTGACGGTAGAGCCATAATGTTTGAGGGTCCCACATATTCAAAAAGGGTGATTGTAGATTTCACCACGACACTCGCTAAATTCGAAGAAGTGCTGAAATTCATCGAACTGTTTGATGGTATGTTATTTTTATTTTTCACACGTATTATAAATTTTTATGTCTAATAATCTGCGTTTTACAGATTTCAAAAGTAGCTTGATAACTCGTTATACTCGGTACGAACCGGACGGTGAATTCCCCCAATTAAGGGAGACATTAGACTATTTTAAGGTAGCGCTTTCATTTTCAATTCTTTTGATTGTTTCTTTTCTTTTTTTACTTGACTTATCTGCGGCATTATAATAATTTCAGACCGCATTTGATCACGAAGAAGCTAAAAAGCAAGGCTACATTGTTCCGAAAAAGGGAGTAGATGCTGAATATGATTCAGTTTTAATTGAGCTCGCGGAGAATAAGAAAGATTTAGACAGATATTTGGAAAAACAAAAGCAACACTTCGGTGTAAAAATAACATTCCACGGAGCAGATAGAAAACGTTATCAAATCGAAGTTCCCGAGTCGCAAGTTAAGAAAGTTGGCCCCGGGTACGAATTAACGTCGCAAAGAAAAGGCTTCAAACGTTATTATACCGCCGAGGCAAAGGTAAGAATAATAATTCACATTTTTTAATTTTAGAAAAACCTGTCAGTGTTTCTGTAGATATAAAAAAGAAAAAAATTGATCTTTATCATTGCAGGAGCTTTTGGCGAGACAAATGAATGCAGAAGAGCACAAGGATAAGGTGCTGAAGGATCTTAACCGGCGAATATTTGCGCAGTTCAGCGAAAAGTATGATATGTGGCATGCAGCCATTCACAAATTAGCCACCATGGATGTGCTCATCTCTCTCGCGGATTACGCGCGAAACGGTGATATGTGTATCCCGGAGATACACGACGGATCGGATGGTGAGGTGAGTATCGTTAGGGTAACAAGTGTCATAGATTAATGATTACTCCTTTACCGGAACAACAACGACAATGAGCGCCATTCTTGTAGGTATTCATCAGGATAAAAGACGGAAAGCATCCCTGCATCACGTCTGACAATTTTATACCGAATGATACTTCCTTGGCAACCGACGATGCCGCCTCTTTCATGATTCTGACGGGTCCGAATATGGGAGGCAAATCGACCCTCATGCGTCAAGTGGGTCTGATCACGATAATGGCGCAAATAGTAAGTCTCGCAAGGAACATACACGCGAATGCAACTAATTGGTTATTACGTCGATAAAACATGAAAATATGAATTTAATTTCCTTGCATAACTAGGGCAGCTACGTTCCAGCCAGCTCGTGCTGCATAACCCTGGTGGACCGTATTTTCACGCGACTGGGCGCGAACGACGATATTCTGGCCGGTCAGAGTACGTTCTTGGTCGAACTAAGTGAAACTGCTGCGATACTGCAACATGCTACGCCCTATTCGCTGGTTCTTCTCGACGAGCTGGGTAAGAACAAGCAGAAAACTACACGCGCATATTAATATGTTCGAAACAAGCGCATCTATTACCGTCATAATGACTTTCTTGCAAGATTCTATTACTATATCGTGTTACTGCGTCTTTTAATCATCAAACTGCCGCTTATTTTTTCCTTTAAATTGATAAAAAAATTGATAAAAAGTATTTCCTTACCACAGGACGCGGCACATCAACCTATGACGGTACAGCAATCGCGGCTGCGGTCGTTGATGCATTGACCAAGCTAAAGTGTCGCACATTGTTCTCAACGCATTACCATTCTTTGGTTGAGGATTACAAAACCAATAAAGAAGTCACGTTAGCTCATATGGTGAGATGCTTCGACATATTTAAATCTTTCGTATAGATCTTTTATTCAAAAGATAGAAAGTATTATAGTTATGCTACTAGTTCGTTACACATATATGTATATTAATCATGCATGTATTCTTAAGAAGTTTCTGAACTACTTTACGATGCATTTTTAATTTTCAGGCATGCATGGTGGAAACAGAGGAGGAGGAGGAAGTGTCACAAGAGACCGTGACGTTTTTGTACAAGCTCAGCGAAGGGGCATGTCCAAAGTCTTACGGATTCAATGCCGCTCGACTAGCAGGCGTACCTTCTATAATCACAAAAAGAGCGCACGAGATAGCTAGGAGGATGGAGCAGGAAACTAATCACAAGCACATCTTTAATGCTCTTTGCAAAGCCAACGGTGCCGAAATGAGAAGTCTCATTGCTACCATTTAATATATCAAATATTACGTCGAATACTCGTATAATCATTTTTTAAGAAACTATGTGGGAAAAAACGATCACTTTGCAGTTGGATTTGTGACTTGTACAAATTGTAAAAATGAGCATTATACTTACGTTGTCAGACACTTTCATATATATATCAAATTGCGTTTTAAATAACTTATCAAATTTTCAAATCTATATAATAACAGTATTCGTTTCATACAGGAATTTAATATTGTTTTTCATCCATCATCGTGTGAAAACAAAGCTATAATTATTTCTGTTTCTGCAAAGTTAATTGCTTAATGTTGTTCGTATGTATTACCATATTAATAATTTTTTCTTAGTATGTACCTAAATTTTTGAATTGCGTTATGTGTTTTGCGTTAATCTATTTTCATAATAAAAGCTATTACGAACGTACATTGCAGTCAATTTAAAATCGTTCAAGGTATTTTATAACTATCCTTTATAACTATCTGTCTCGGGGAGGAACGAGGCGAAGGCGTCTTGCTTACAAAATTTTATTAATCAAGAGTATGCAAGAGTATTAAAAGACTACTTTTGTCGAGTACGATACCAGCGTATCGTCGCATTTTCTCCGTTTCGTTTCACTGTCAAAACGTCACCGACAGCGCCGACAACCGTTTATGCCCGTATCACACTAGCGATTGGCGATTGCGTTTACGTTTGCGTCTACGTCTTTTGACCAATCAGAACGGAAATCGCGAATCGCACGCGCCAGCAGCTACTTTTTGATTGGTCTAGAGACGTAAACGCAAACGTAGACGCAATCGCCAATCGCTAGTGTGATACTCGAATATCCTCGACTTTCGCAAAATGTACGGGAAATTTAGGACGATTTCGGTCAAATTCCAATCAAAATCAACGATTAAATATTATTTCATTAATATGGAATTTTTAATTTTTTATTGTTTAATATACGCGAAAAAAATAAATGATTTTTACACGATGCGAGAAAAAAGAATCTGAAAATAGCCACTCTTCTCTCCGCTCTTATTTCGTGCTGCGATATTTCCCAAAATTTCCTGAGGGGGCGCCAGCGCACAGCAAATTTTTCAATCTGCAGAAATATAATGGAAGCTCCACTCCGGTCGAAAAAAAACATTTGTTTTGAAAGCACTGTGTTCAAAGGTTAAGTTGGAACAGCACGGTGGATCGCTGCCAATAAAGCTTAAAAGCTAATGAAGATAGAAAGAGTATAATTTAAATGTAGTCCAACGAAGGTGCGACTGCGACATTCGTGACCGGTTTATCGGACGAGCCTGTCAAACTGATCAAACTCGTCGCTTTGACAGCTGACAGCCGACAGCT